GAATATCGAACCCAAAACTAACTTTACCGCGCTAGCATTAAAATGCAATGACACTTACATTGTCGTCGCATTTCGTGCGCCACTGATAAAAGGCTGCCTGACGCACACCTAAAATTCGAATGCAACATTTTTGCATTGGAATGTGGATTTTTATTTTAAATTCGACGAATATTCGAAATTCTACTTTTTTTTGACAGCCCTATTGAGTATTTGTGATCAGACATCAACAGTGCTGTCTAGGTTCGCTGTGTTTTGACACACAGTCTATATGACCTGCATGATTTTCTCTCACCTGTCCGCCAGCTCCAGAACCTCATGCACGTTAGCGGTGCTCACTCGTATCTCGCCCGTGTACATGAACTGGATGACGCTCTCCACCGTTTCCTGGTCGAGGCCTGCCTCGCTGCTCCACTCCTTCATCTCCACCCGCCGCGTCACCGACTCCGAAAACTGACCCCCGAGCAGCGGCGTGAAATAATCCGTGGCCGCAGCCAAGACTGAGCGGTGGGCGCTGAACTCGAAGCTGTTGGCGGCTCCCGGGGCGCTGCTGAACACCAGCGTCACGTCGCAGAAGAGCCCGAGCTTGCGTTGCTCGTTCTGCCGCCGGGAGAGCTCCGAGCAGTGGGTGGCGGAGGCAAACTCCTCGGCCTCCTCAGACTCTCCGTCTCCCGCTAGAGCGCTCGCCGTGCTCGGCCCGCCGCTGTTTCGGTTGGCGTCCTCTGGATTCGGGGCGGCTGCGGCCATCTCGGTGTCCGCGCGGTCGGTTCGTAAAGTGCGTAGTATGTTGAGGTGGTGGAGCACACTCAAACATACACACTCCAACATAAACAGCGCTTGACATGCGCACACGCAGCATACACCGCAGGAGTCCTGTTGACGTTACAGGAACTGACGAGGGACATGGGTTGCTGATCTGGGAAAAAAGAAATAACAAAAATATCAACGGTGTATTGTTTTGAAATAACATAATGTGTTATAAAATATTATGTTATAAAATAAAATACACAATATGGTGTCAGTCTTCAGTGTACATTAAGCTCGACATTACCGCAAAATAAACCTCGTCACGAATGGCATATTCCTGGACTAATTAAATGTCAAATATTATTTATAGCCATTATAAAGACTGGGGTTCCCAAACTTTTTTTTTTTTGACAGCAGAACCCGTTAGACTTAGAATAGGCCTATGTAGTTTACTTGTAGGCCTACCCCTTGAAATTTTAAGTTTTAGTTTCCACAATTTAACGACACATTCGCATATTCACGGTTCTGTGATGTTGATTAATGATCAAATAACATCGAGGCAAACAGATAAAATGTGTTTTCGTTTTTTTTTTTTTTTTTTTTAATAGGGCTGCACAACTTGCTCGAAAATGATTGCACTTATTTTGTCATGGCAATTTTAACAGAGATATCATCATAGATATTCATCTAGTATGAAAATACCTAAAATTGCTGCTGAAACGAACTATAACTTTTAGAGTCTTTATTGTTATTATTATTATTATTATTACGTATTTTAAACATGAAGACAAATATATTACGGTTGTAAATTGCAGTTGTAGCCTACTGTAAAATAAATAAATGGTTATTTGATCATTCACTTAAAACGTTGAAAACGCTCGAGCTTCTAACATGTCTAAATCATATATTTCTAATAAAAAAATAGGCCTACTGTTTGGTATTTTAAAGGCTTTTTCAAAAAAACATAAAATACATTGTGACAACTAGTTCAACCCTAATCATCCTGCACACAATGAAAGAAATAAAATAATATGAAGGAAATATGAAGTAGAGCAATGACTCAATTATATATATATATATATATATATATATATATATATATATAATTGAGTCATTGCTCTACTTCATATTTCCTTCATATTATTTTATTTCTTTCATTGTGTGCAGGATGATTAGGGTTGAACTAGTTGTCACAATGTATTTTATGTTTTTTTGAAAAAGCCTTTAAAATACCAAACAGTAGGCCTATTTTTTTATTAGAAATATATGATTTAGACATGTTAGAAGCTCGAGAGT